TACATTTTATACATCTGATCACAGTATTAACATTGATCACATTAAACTGCAAGAAACAGTAAGGAGGAGAGAAAATAACAAGAGCTTTGGTGTCAGAGATAAGAGACTGTATCTCCCAACTCCTCCATTTACAAACTGTGTCCTTGAGCGAATTATCTAATCTTCCTCATCCTTCCTGCAATTCCATCTACAAAATGGGGCCAATAATGCCTGCTTTAGAGTATTCTTGTGAAAATCACATGAGATTGGCAAATAAAGCCCCTAGTGCTAGGTCTGACTCATAGCCAGTGCTCGACAAATTAGTCCCCGCCCCTTTCTCCTCCCTCCAAAGGCAAAAGCACGCGTTTCATCATTGTGTCCTCAATATTGAATTGAACACACTAAGGATTTAATACATGCAATCATGCAATGAATATGATAACTAAGGGCAAACAGGGGCCAGTTTTTAATCATAGAATGCCAGGCCTAGAGAGGGCCCTAAACCCATGGCATTTGACCAGATGATTATCATGGAGGAAGTTCAGAGACGGAAAGCCACAGGGCCCTTCTCTCGTGCTTGCAGACCAGGACTCTCCCACTTTCTCCCCACCAGCACATACTTACTGCTTTTCAGGGTTGCAGACCAGAGCCTGAGCAGGCCTCTCTGGGGGTGCATTTTCGCCAGCCTTTCTGCCCATGGACTTGGAGACCAGTACTAGTCTGGTGGCTGCTTTAGTAGGAATCCTGTCCAGCTCTTAGTGGTTAAGTTCAATTTCTCATCATCCACACAAATAAGGCTTCATTCAAATTGGAGATGATAGATGGTTAACAGGCATGAGAAAACGTGTTGTGCTACACTCAGAAAGGATGCAAAAACACATTGCCTTCTGGAGAGGCAGGGAAATGGCGGCAACAGAACGCACCCGGCTTCTTGCACCTTCGTGTCTGGCTAGACGGTTTTACGGCATTTAGCAGCACCGTGCGAAGGCACCCACGGCATCCCATAAGTCTCACAAAACAGCGTTTTCATGTGCTAATGGCAACGGAATCAGAAACACATGGACTTAATTTCCTCCAAGATACCCAGGGGTATCAAAATCAATGCAGGAGAGCCATTTGGCTAACTACACTGGGGGCTTTTCTGAGCCCAGAAATGGTGAGAAATTGTGGGAGATGGCTGCTGAGCCCAGAAATCCCACCAGGCTCAGCCCTCCCCGAGCACAGCCCTGGCCTAATGTGATGTGAAGCCCCGGCTGTGCTTTTGGAGAGAGGCAGGTGCTTGCCGTGTGGTACCTTCACGGCCGCCATCTCCGCAGAGTTCCTGCTTTCTGCTGTCCATTCATTCGCTCAGCTGCTCCCACCACAGAGCCGTCAGGGAGATCTCACTTTGGCAGCAGATCGGGATCCCTGCCTGAAAGTTGATAGAGGTTGAGCTATTTGCAGAAATAATGCTTTCCAGACGTACTAAACAGTATCCCTCTTTCCAGATGGAGTGGCATTAGCGTTGCTTCCAGCCATTTCCTCACCTTCTGGTGTACTTGTCAGCTCTCGCATATGCATCACAAGCCTTCCATATTCTGGGGAATCTCGGAAAACTGCTCAAACCCTCAGCTTCTCACCACTTGCCTGCACAAATGCGTGTGCACGCGCACACACGTGCACACACACACACACACACAGAGTCTCCACTGTTCTGTATGCACATACAGTTTTCTTCCTCCACGTCTTGGGAGTCAACTTAGATTTTCCAAGAGTGCTAATCACTAAATGTGATCGTTTAGCAGCTCGGGGAATTAACAGGCTTGAATACCTGGGACACCAAAGAATTCCCTGGGTGTGGTGGTGAGTTCCACCATCTGCAGTCACCGATGACTTCGCTATTCACATTGCCCTTTGGTGGCCTCTGGTTTTCAACGTCAGAAAGAGCCCTTGGTGAAGAGGCTACTCCCTGGCCCCAAATCAACCTCCTGAGAGATGAATGAAGCCACTTTGCGTTCATGGCCCATACATAAGACACTTTGGGTTGCAGGACCCCATAGTATTACATCCATGTGCTATTCCTCATTGAGAAATTGCCCAGCTCGCCATATTGTGTGTGAACTCTGGATAGCTGAAACATGCCCAGGCTAGAAATCAGGTCCTTCTCGCAGGTCCTGTGTTAAGGTCCTTCCCAGTTCTCAGGACTACTTAAGTTACTTACATGCACTCAAGTCTGCAGACTAAAGTGGTTGATGGAGCACTGGGCCACATGGTGAAAGTCCAGTATGGCAGCCGTGCTCATTTGTCTACCAGTAAGTGTCCCTGTTGGTTTGCCATCCTGCCTCCCTTTCTAATTCCCTCCTGAAGCTGAGCTTCCCTTGTCAGGAGGAGGGGGGAGGGGAGGGGAGGGGGGGGGGATGGGAGGGGGAGGGGATATTACACACACACACAGAACCCCTTGCCCTCCTCACTCTCATTTCTCAGTTTGGCTGGGTTTTGTCCCTGAGTGGGATATGCTCTCCCCGAAATCTAAGATCTGTCCTGTTTCTGCCTCACATCCTGGGGTGGATGCAGGAGTGGGGCTGGCGTCTCAGAAGAGCCTGACATCAGAGACACTCAGCACTACCAGAGTCTGTGAAAGTCAGGCTGAGCAGCCGAGGCCGATTACTAAACACAATGAAGACAAGATAAAACAGAGAAAGCCATGGATGTAGACCAGTGGATACAATGGATACCTTCCTCTTCAACTCGGCTCTTCAACTGTTACTCAGATCAGTAGCTCCTGTGTGACCCTGGGCAAGTTTCTTAACCCTTCTGTGCCTCAGAGGCCCCACCTGTAAAGTCAGGCTAACACCGGTAAATACCTCATAGGTTTGTTACGTGGATCGAATGAGATAAGGCCTGTAACGTGCTGAGAACAAGCGTGAATACGCTAAGCAGTCTCTAAGTGTAGGCTGGTAAACAAACCGTGAATTTTCTTTTTACCTCCAGGAAAGCTTACTTCCTATTACCTTCCACGCTTTTAGGGACTAAAAAGTCCTTGGCTCTTGACCCAGCAATTGTTACCAGAAGACGTGATATTTGTAACACTTCTGGCTCATTATGGTCCCTGAGATGCTCTCATCCTTTTGCTGTGTGAGGTGAGTCACTGATGGTCACATCTTGCTCCACGCGGGACCCTCACTGATGAGCTACTTTTTCTTCTGGAAAGGCACTGTCCTCATCATCTCAGGGAAGATCTCACACATTCGAACATGATTTCTTGTTTTATTTTTAGTATTCTACTACTTGTGTTTTTATTTTATTTTTTTATTGATGTATAGTTGATTTACAACGTTGTGCTAGTTTCTGGTATACAGCAAAGTGTGCTGGTGTACAGCAAAGAATATATATATATTCTTTTTCAGATTCTTTTCCATTATAGGTTATCACAAGATATTGAATACCATTCCCTGGGCTATACAGTAGGTCCTTGTTGTTTTTCTGTTTTATATATAGTAGTGTGTATCTGTTAATCCCAAATTCCCGATTTATTCCTCCCCCCCTTTCCCCTTTGGTGACCATAAGTTTGTTTTCTATGTCTGTGAGTCTGTTTCTGTTTTGTAAGTAAGTTCATTTGTATCATATTTTAGATCCCACACGTGATATCATATGGTATTTGCCTTTCTCTATCTGACTTGCTTCACTTAGTATGATAATCTCCAGGTCCATCCGTGTTGCTGCAAATGGTATTATTTCACTTTTCATGGCTGAGTAATATGCCACTGTATATATGTGCCACATCTTCTTTATCCATTCATCTGTTGACGGACATTTAGGTTGCTTCCATGTCTTGGCTCTTGTAAATAGTCAAGCCTAATTTCTTGATCCCTACATCTTTTGATCTTGCTAGAGTGACAGAGATAAGCTCATTTTGCAATTGTTGTACCCAACTGTGCTATGTCCTTCCAATCAGGAAAGGAGGGAGCTTAGCAATCAAATAATTGCTTCATCTGATCACCTGTGTATCTTCCACCTTGATCAAGTCTTCATGGGCTTTGAACCTTTCTACCCAAAGCTGGGCAGATTTGCCATGTTTCTTAAAATCCCCCAACTTTTTTCCTTGATGGTTCAAAACAAATAAAAGCAACAGCAAAAAGCCGTTTTTTTAAAAAATAAGTTACAGCAATCTTTTTAACATTTCAAAATGCATCTTATTGCTTCATTGATGGATACAAATCAACTGTTCCACATCCGTTTTCTTGATGTGCACACTCTTTAATTTCTGGAAGTCCCAAAGAGCAAAATATCCCCCTTCCCAATTCTTTCTGCTACTGCTGTTGATAACGGAAAATGAAATATATTAGTTACCACCCATCAACCCAGGCTTCTAATTACATTGTGAGACCTGCTCATTAAAGCAGGTATGGGGTGCAGAGCAAGAAAGGAGGTGTTTCCATTTAGCCCGTGATGGGAGTAACAAGTGTGCTCAGCCTGACACACCAGCTCCACGAGGGGAATACCTTAAACAATCCCATCCACACCGATTTACTTCAACCAGGTGATATTTTAATGAGCCAACCCCAGTGCTCCCTGGATGACATGATGCCTCATGTCACACCATGAGAGGGGCACACCACCTTTAAAAGAAAAAAGATCACTAAAAAAGCCAGAGCGTTGACACTTGCAGATGAGTTGAATTCCCTTTGTCCTGTGGACATGCACGATGCTCGAGAGCCCCAAGTGCGAGGAGTTGATTTCTGCTGTCATCAGACCTGACCCGCACTCCCCTAGGAGCCCGCGGCCTGTCTGCTGCAATGACAGGAGAGAGAGCCAGGCTGTGACTTGGGGTCCTCAGCTGTGCAGCACCGCAGGCCACATCCAGCCCTGACGAGGGCAGCTGGATCGCATGAATTTTTAAAGTAAAACAACGGATTTGGGGGGGGAGGGGCAGGGGGCATCTTACTCCCCACCCCACCCCCTTGTGAAATCCCCACAGAAGAAAAGCACAGACCCAGCATGTTGATTTTGGCAGAGGTACACACAGTCCCTCTGTTCGGAAGACGAGCTGACACGTGCAGATTTGCAGAGAAGCCATTCCAAAAGGTTAATTAAATATTACCATTGTTTTCTGAGCTATTAATGCATATTCTTTTATTTCTTCATGTGAAAGCCTTCTCCCTACACAAAATCAGAGTTTGGATTTGCTTCCCAAACCCTTCCCCTTTTTGAAGCCTGGAAAGAGGATGACCGAGGGACCCAGAGAGAGAGAGAGAGAGAGAGAGAGATGCAGAATGCAGTTTGGAGCTGAGCAAGGAGGGGCTGTTGTCTGAAATGAAGTCCCTGAAACACACTCCCAGCTGCAGCTGCGGATTGGAATCGTGTGGTTCAAGGAAGGTTCTAGAAAGGGGCCAGGAAGGAACCTCTGCTCTTTCCACCTGTATTTATTGGCTGATGTAACTGGCCACTGGAGCTGAGGAAGGTTGCCAGCCTACGGCCTTCGGTGATTCCGGGGAGGCTCAGGCTGGGATGAGTGAGGCCTGAGGCGGGAACACAGCCCACCCTGCACTGCCTGTCTGTCCCCTACCTCCTCCAAGCCACGCTGCTTTCTCCCTGCCCAGGGTGGGGGCGTCCTGAGGTAGGCAGGACAAGACCCTCGATGCAAATGGGAGAGGGACCCCAAGACAGACGGCGAGGGAAAAGAAGACGGAGGTCAGGGAGAAGCCGAGGTTCCTCCCCGGCAGGGAGCGCCACCTCTGGGACCGCAGTTGCCAAGAGCCCTGAGCCGCGAGGAGCGCGGCAGTCTGCGGGCAACCTCTCCAGACGACGGTCTTCCAGAGCAAGCGGGACAGGTTCGGTTTGCAAAGTCAGGATGCCTCCCTGGATGTGGGGATGCGGCAGTGAACCTACAGCGTAATGAATGAAAAACAAAGGACAGCGTGAAGACAGGCGGTGACTTGCCGGATTGGGGGGTGTGCTGGCGTGGATGGGAAGAGGCAGCACAGGCGGTGCCAAGTCGGGCCGCGCAGTCCTGCCCAGGACACCGACCCCGAAGCTCTGCCCTCCCCACCCACCCCGGTACCTGCCCTGCATCTGCGGAGGGCTGGCACCCCACGGTGCTTCCACATGCAGACTTTGCCGCCCGAAGACCTGGGGTCAAAGCCCACTGCCGGCACCCTGGCCGGGCTTCCTTAATGTTTCTCATTTCCTAATGGCTTCGCTTTTAAACACAAATGGCTATGCTGTGGGGTTGTTAAAATGAAAAGAAAAAGTACGCGAGGTGCCCAATATATAGTAAGTGCTCTTGCAAAGGAAGGGAAGCGAGGGAGAGTCAGCACGAGCTAGCCGCGGGGAGTGGAGGAGAGCATGGGGGAGGGGGCCTGGATACCTCGCCCTGTGGGAGCATCTGTTAACAGACCACCCTGGAGCATCCTGGATCCAGCTTCCCTGGATGAGCTCATGCCTGTCTCTGATGGTCCTGACAGGATTCTCATGCTGGTGGGGTCACCTTGACACACTAGCTACCCTGCATGCGCGTGAGGCTTGGTGGTGACCTGTCTGGGATGGAAAGTGCCAAAGCTAAGTGTGTGTCCGCACAGGCCACAGCTGGAGAAGCAGAAAGGGCAAGCACACACGTGTCCTTGTGAGCAGGTTGTAAGTGCTGAGATGTGGCCTCTGGGGAGAAGTGCTGGGTCTCCTGTAAGGTTGGTGTCCAGGGACAGGGATGGCAGGAAAATGATGTCCCAGATTCAGGGACCTTGGGCTGAATTCATTACAACCAGGTGTGCATTGGCACCATAAGGAAATGTCAGGGGGCGTTAAAGAAGCCCCCCCTACACACACACAGACCCTGCTCTTCATGTGGCTTACATCACATCATGGGGACCAGAGGCCGAGAGGGTTCACAGTGACAGCGAATGACAGAGCACAGTGCTAGTGAGAAGGGGTGCGGTCAGGCAGTCAGAGTCACGGGAGGGAGCTGGCAGAAAGGCCAGCCGCACAGAGAGACAGCCAGTCGAGGTAGGGTGGGTGTGGCAGACACCCACTGGGTTGTCTAGGGAACACCACACCCCACCACTGGCAAGTGGGCAGCAGCGAGGACATGCCCACTGGACACTGGTAACCGACGTGAGGGTGGACAGAGCCCCAGCTCCCTGGCTCTGAGCTGACTGTTCCAGAAGCAGACTCCTGACTAGAGTTGCCAAACTCGGCAAATAAAGATACAGGATGTCCTGTTAAACTTGAATCTTAGATAATCAATTAATAACTCTGTAGTATAAGTATAGCCCATGCAACTTTGGGGAGATACTTATAACTAAAAAAGAATGAGCTGTTTCTCTGAAATTCTCATCTGCTTGGACATCCTCTACTTTATCTGGCATATCCCTCCTCCTGACCCAAACTGGGCCCTCAAGAGAGTGCTTTCTGCAGGATGCAATGAAAAGAGAACAGAGTCTCCCTCTTTCCAGGGGCTAAAAGTTCAAGATGTTGTCTGACACATGAAGAAGGCCAACCAACCAAGGGCGAGAATGAGACGAGGACAGAAGTCAGAAGTCAGCAAGAGGCAGAGACAAAGGGAACAAGATGCTGACGGCATCCGAGGCCAAGTTCACGCCTCTTCCCTGCCTGCCCCGCAGGGGGTTATTCTGCTTTCTACTTGCCGATCCCTACTCCCTGCCCACCCTGCCCTAGCCCCCAGCTCCTGTGGACAGAGGAGAAGGCAGAGGCGTTGTAATTCATCAGCTCAATGGCAATAAATACAAGCAAATGTACCTTTCGCACAAGAAGGCCAGAGTTACTATGTTATGTGGTACATGGTCAAAGCCACATTACAAGAAGAAATACCATTTCTTATATAGACCAGACTGGGTGTTCTTCAAAAGGAAATTAATCGTCAGGATGGTGAATTGTGTTTGATTTGCAAATTTAAGGAGAATACAGCCAGTGTTGAAACATACACCTTCTCCCCAGTCAGTCCACAGAGCCAGAAGTCCCCCTGCGAACAAAGCTCACGGACACCTAAGTACCTAAAATTTGAATGACAAATTATTTACCACAAATAATAGGCCCTGGGTTCATATCCTACAAACCAGTAAGAAAAACACTGTCAGCACCTCCCCCCCAAAAATGGGCAAGGGGATATTTGCAAAAGAAATATAAATTTCTAATAAACATATGAAAAATGTTTAATCTCATTAATAAGCAAACAAATATAGACACAAACATTGAAATGGCCTTTTTAGACTGTTAAATTGGCAAATTAAGAAAAGCAGTTCCAGGGGCTTCCCTGGTGGCGCCGTGGTTAAGAATCCGCCTGCCGATGCAGGGGACGCGGGTTCATTCCCTGGTCCGGGAAGATCCCACGTGCTGCGGAGCAACCAGGCCCGTGCGCCACAGCTACTGAGCCTGCGCTCTAGAGCCCACGAGCCACAGCTACTGAGCCCACGCACCACAACTGCTGAAGCCCACGCGCCTGGAGCCTGTGCTCCGCAGCAGGAGAGGCTGCTGCAGTGAGAGGCCCGTGCACTGCAACGAAGAGTAGCCCCCGCTCACCGCAACTGGAGAAAGCCCATGTGCAGCAACAAAGGCCCAACTCAGCCAAAAATAAATAAATAAAATTTATTTAAAAAAAAAAAAAAAGAAAAGCAGTTCTGGACTCACAGACTTAAAGAACAAATTTACAGTTACTGGGGGGAAGGATGGGGGGAGGGCCAGACTGGGAGTTTGGGATTGACATGTACACACTGCTATATTTAAAATAGATAACCAACAAGGACCTACTATAGGGCACAGGGAACTCTGCTCAATACTCAATAACCTAAATGAGAAAAGAATTTGAAAAAGAATAGATACATGTACATGTATAATGGAATCACTTTGCTGTACACCTGAAACTAACACAACATTGTTAATCAACTCTATTTCAATATAAAATAAAAATTTAAAAAGAAAGGTAGTTCTACTGAATGCAGCCCAGGGTACAATGGTGTGAGCATTCTTTTGCACGAATCTTGTGTCCCTAATATACAAAGAACTTCTGCAAAACAATAAATGACAAAGAACCCAGGAGAAAAATGGGCAAAGGGATTGAACAGGCAATTCACAGAAGAGTTACAAGTGGTCAAGATAGATGAGAGAGATTTCAGTCTAGATGGTGATTTTGATTTAGGATAGAACTCGTCCTCACGATCAGAGAAGGTCAGGATAAAACACGACACCAGCTCTTGGCCTATGATGTCATAAGTACTGATAACTTCTACTCCTGTGCAGGACATTGGGAAATAGCCAGTCTCACACACTATTGGTAGGCCTCAACATTCCTACAGCATTTTTAAGGGATAATTCCACAGTATCTATTTAAAGCGCCCTAAAATCTCTGACGGCTCTATGTTCCTTCCTTGAAGATATTGCTTATTCTCCTCCTTGTAAAAGGAAATTCCCAATGCTTAGTGTCTCAGGAAATAAGAATTATTCCGTGGGCGCCCCCCCAAACACATTTTTTAAATTTTCAAACAATGGAGTTATTTTCCCTGGGTTCTGATCCATTTTCTCTCTATTCCGGGCATTCTTTGATGAATCATGTCTCATTCTTTAACATTCCATTAAGAATGAGGCGACCTATGTGGGCACAGTATTATTCTTAAAAAACAAAGCATAAATGCCCGAGCAATGTAACAAAGTAATCACGTTTTCAGCAAAGATGGGGAAACAGTGATTGTGTTGAGTGGGTGAGGATCTCCTACACGCTGAGAATCTAAGCAGCTCTGCTAAGTCCTCCTTTTCCTTCTTTGGAATTTTTCCCACTGCCCCTTCAGCTAAGCATCTTCCCTCCTGCAAGATTTCCTTCGTTCAGGGCAGGAGTCCCTGAGCCTGGAATCCTGCCCTGTCCCATCTCGTCAAGCTGTCTCCTGAAATCATTCTACCAGCTCCTGAGACCTCCCTTCCTCCACAAACCGCCCCCAGCTGAGAGCAGAGTGACTCTCCTCCAGCTGCCCACCTGTTTGGAGCCACGGCGGCTCCCTCTCTCCCCCTCCCGTTGTCTGGACTGAACAGCAGCGGGCTCTACAGCGTCCTGTCCACTAAATGGCTGCAGCATCCTCCACGTCCTTTTCTGTGCCCGTCTGCATCCAGAGAAGCCGGAGCCCGAGTTTATCAACATGCTTTGCTTAGATCAGCAACTCGGGACGCTGTGGAGCGACATTTGTGTTCTCTGAGATCACCTTGCAGGGCATCACCAAGGACCAGAGTCCTGTGGCTCGGTACACTAGGCTCGCATTTATGGTCAAGTTGAGACTTCTCGAACCTCTCTGTGCCTGTCTCAGTGTCCCTGGGATACAGTAATGCTGACTTAAACTGGTAAGATCTGAAAATCAAACGAATGATAGTGACTTCAGTGAAACGGAGGTCTGGCTTTCCTTTAAATGGTTAAAACACCACTAACAAGTGGATCTAAATATTCAGATCTACCCTCCTGAAATTATATTTTCCTCTCCTGTGATTCAGCGTCGCTGTAATTGAACTGAATTCCACAAGACTAGAAATCTGGTATCTAGGACTGTAAAACACCTTCAGTTGGTAAAATATTTAGGAAGTTTTCTTAAAAGAAAGTCCTTTTTCAGATTTTGTCTCTATCCACCGTTAAAATGAATTTCACACCCCTTTTCCCCCTTTTACCTTTGGGAAAGATGCTTGCTTTTACAGCCTCCTCTTAATGTCAAAACAGAAGATCTCTTATACTTCTTAGAATCTTGAGATCCTTTTCTGGTAAAGAGGAAAACAAATGTGCTCTAATTAAGGCAATCGGGGAAGTATTGGGTCACTGCAGACCACAACTAACCCTCTCTAACTTCCATGAACTGGTAGCTCAAATATTAATAGACAACATGAAACAAGAAAATGCCAGGAA